TGATCTGATCTGAAAACACGCGATCGACACTGCCAGCCCATGCGTCCGTGTATACTGCAGAGCTTGTGGCCATCATTAAGGCGCTCTGCTTTACAGAGGTGGGCGAAGACAGTCTGCACGTGATTTTATCGGATTCCCTAAGTGCCCTTTCGGCACTAAGGCGTTTTAATCCGGTAAATCCCCTTATACAGGATGTTTTACTGCGTCTCGACCCTCTGTACCGGGCTGGCAAGACTATAGTACTTTGCTGGATTCCGAGCCACGTTGGCATTGCGGGAAATGAGCTGGCTGACTCTGCTGCAAAGCGTGCTACTCGTCGTCCCTGTCGCAGAACGTTTCCGATACCCGCTACAGACCTGTACTCGCCCATCTCTGCCTTTTTGCGCGGGGAATGGCAGAGCACATGGGATGCGATGGACACCACTAAACTGAAAAACATCAAGCCAGTTGTTCAGGAATGGCAGTCATCCTATCGAAAGTCTAGACGGGAGGAAGTAATCCTGTGTCGGTTGCGGATTGGCCATACCAATGCTACACATCGATACCTACTATGTCACGACGAACTACCACGATGTCGCCACTGCAACACCACGCTCACAGTGGAGCATGTGCTCATATGTTGTCCCATACTACGCGTCGAGCGTCTGAGGTTCTTGGGCCCGGTGGCGCCGTACCTGACGCTCTCCGGTTTACTAGGTGACAGCTCACCACATATCCAACATACCCCCAAGTTCGTATCGCATGTTAAGTTCTGCACTTTATATACACCTGCCTGAATAGTTCATACCGCGTGTAGGAAGTTTTTAGGTTGCCGAAAGCTTCGTATCAACGACGCTTTCCTCACACAAATCAGCCATTTTCATTTCCGAATAATATATATTTTTTAGTCATTTACCGTCGTAGGTAGCCATTTTGCTGTCACGGGCGCAAAATGACCACAATAGTCGGCGCGCCCTAAAGCCCCAATCAACAACAACAGGATGGGCATCGGAGGCATCGCGGCTGCTTGCTGGTAGGCGGCCTCCACGTCGTCCGTATGCGCTGCCGCTTCCACCACAGCTGGATCTTGGATCTGCGACACAAGGAAAGGGTCATTTCCGCGTACCTATCAGGCGCATTAATCAGACCCTTTTGCATATCACCAGTTTTGTTTTTCATTACGAGAGCAAAACGTCTTGGACCCGGACATGCTCATTCTTTCGTTATCACATGCTTGTTTTTATTCACAATCACCTTTTTGTGGTCCAGCGTGACATAATCCGAGCGGGTGAGAGGGACGGTCAACGGCCGACGAGGACTGCACTGCGTGCACCACTCTGATATCTCCCTCTCCCGGCCATAACCACGGATCTACCTGGATGGACCCGTTTCATGGTCCCATTTCATTGCATCGGCTGCCCCAGGGGGGTGGCGCCGCCATTACAGTTTTTCGACGGCCCTCCGAGGGCCCTCCGAGGCTCCAACAGCAGGGCCCTCCGAGGCTCCAATCCCCCCCCCCCTCCGCCCCCATTCGTCTCTGCCCGTGAGCTTCGAGGCCTATGGTTTGGGCACAGGAGCAGTCTTTTTACCACGATTTTAATGTATGTAATCCCGGGGTTTGGTGACCAGGCAAATGACCTGTATTTGAAATGCCAGACACTACTATGAACAGTAACACGAAGAACCCAAAAATGGTTCAAAAGTAGCAAGACTCGTAAAAAGCCGAGTGAACATGTGCGGTACGCGGGTGAAAGAACTGTTTAAGGCAACAGGCCAAACCAATATTAGAATCTCATTGATGCGCTAGGTACTGTACCTATTAACGATTGTGGGGTTTGTTGGTCAGTCCACAGTGCGTAGATGTACTGTCAATGGGGCTGGGACTCGCTCGTGCAAACTTATCACCCCCCCCCCCCCCCCCACGTCGCAAACCCTGGCTACGTCCCTGGCCCTCACCCCTTTCGCCCGTGTCGCATGGATGGCTGTGCCACTTGTGTGGTAGTCAGGCTCCACTTTGTAAACAAGATTATGGCCGGAAAATCTCGCTTGAACCTCGTATTGTAGTCTACAAACTGCACGGAGCGGCATGGATTATGCAGGCATTAGTGGCTGTGAATCGGGTTCAAAGATTTCTGCATAAAACAGACGGGAATTTCCCTTTTAAGCACACGCATACTCACTTCAGTGTGTTGGCGATGTCCAGTCGCATAGAAGGAATTGCACTTGGTCGAAGGCATGGTTTAACATTGGGTATGAGACTGGCCTTAACCAGATGGCCAGGATCATAGTCATAATCTTGGAAATGACCAGATCAGATTAACGCATTCCCCGCATTTATGGTGTTAGTCCAAGAGCAACGGTTCACTCATGTTTCCAGGACAGTCGGATCGTTTTTTTTTTGCAAAAGAAAAATGTCTTTACTGTGCCGTTTCACATTCTTGCAAGAGGCCACTTCACAGGAAGGCATCTTGCTGCCAAAAAAATTGCCTTTGATGCTCACTTTTGCCCCACGCTCACACATCGCTTCAAAATTCTCCCATCCACAACACAATAGCACGCACTAAGGCAACACAACAGTACAAACTCGATGCCACACTGCACGATAATCGCGATGTTACATTTGATACGTTACATCGGTATTGTACGACCTTGACGATAATAGACAAGACCAACCACAGCATTTCTGCGTGACTACTGCTTTCCACGCGACGCAGTCGACGTTGCCATGCAACGCCTCAGCGCTAGCCATTGCGACTTTGTAACGTCACCTCTTAACGTTGAACAGGCGCCAGCCCGACCAATTTCTCCGGCTGCGATGATGACCCCCTGGGGTTGCGTGAAAACCTTACATTTGGCACACAGCTGCCGATTGTGATGCATTTTGTAAACAAACCAAACTTGATGCGTGCAAACGGCTGAAGTCGCTGTGGTCTTGGGCTTGGGGGTACCTGGCGCCCTTGCTCTGCGCATACATAAACATGATTCAGGTGTAGGTGAGACAGGACATAGCCATGTCGAGGCCATAGCCATAGCCAGGTGTCGGGGTTCTGTGGAGCCTCGTTTATGCTTGATGGTTTCAAGTGAGCTCGGTTTTAAATGGCATCTGAAAACCTCAAAGGGAAATAGGGGTTTGGCATGTGCGATTAGACAATGTCAGGCAGGAGTGGAAAAATCACATAAAATATGGGGAAAAGGAGTGAAAAATTCATCCTCATAGGGTGTTGCTTTACACGCAAAGTCGGCAGTTCTAGGGCACTGCGAAGAAGGCGACCAAAGCCACCTACGGGGCTCCGATATCCAAAAACAATAGGAGGCTCCTAGTTCGCAACGGGTGCCTCCCAAGCCAGCGAAAGAGTCTTCCTAAGACATCTTTGCGCCTGCTGTTCTAGAGTACGGGCTACCTTATTAAAAAAAGGTGGCATTATGGTCCAGAAAACGGACGTCCGGATGTATGAACGGCTCCTCTGAGTCAGACATATTACTTTTAGCTCAGTTATTTGGGACTCGTACTGAGTTTTGGTATTCTACGGGTACCTGCAATGTCTGGTTTCGGAAAAAGGGGCCCCCAAAAATGTTAGGGGACAAAAGCATCATCTTTCTCCAGCCTTGCCGGAAAGCAGGGGAGGGGAACTGTCCCCTCTGCCCCATGCTGCGCCGACCCTTATCCAAGCTCCTTCAACTGCTAAAGGACTTGTCAACCCCAGATCCTGCCGCCGATAGCCGTCGCTGACGCCGCGACGCGGCGGCGCCGGCGGCGGAGGGTTATCGCATCAGCGCATTCTTCGGGTGCTCGTTACAGAAGGCCAAGCGCCACCTCATCCCCGGTGTGGTCACCCTCCGTCAGTCGCCCATATCCTCGTGCGGTGCCGCCTCCTCAAAGCTGAGCGTTATAGCTGCTTTGGCTCCAACGCTCGCCGAAGGCTGTTTTTGCGCCCCCCATCAGAGCGGAACCGAATTATGATGCGAGAATGGTTTTAGTTTTGATGAAGCATATTAATTTCAAAATAATCTATTCGCCTGTATGCGTTCCGTGACTGTATGCGGCTCAAGCTTTGGTATGCCCAATTCAGGTCTGATGACTCGAGCTCGTGGCGCGTTGTCCGCGCATGCGTCGAATAAGCAAAGACCGTTGAAACAAAATAAGTGATGCAATTGACGCGCCCCTTAAACCTCACGTTGTGCCAATAGATGCTCCCTGCACGCTGAGAACATAATACGAAACACATACATTCCTCCACTACCAGGTGGGAGGGCAGCTCTGCAGACACAGTGGCAACACCAGCCCAAGATCCCCGTCACTTACCACCCAACGCCAACTCATATCATGTATCCAGCTTTGCGTCTCCATAGATCCTATTCCAACTCATATCATATCCAACCCTGCGTCTCCATGGATCCGACGCATATCGTATCCAACTTTGCTTCTCCATGGATCCAACTCCAACCCATATCATGTATCCAACTCTGCGTCTCCATGGATCCAACTCCAACCCATATCATGTATCCAACTCTTCGTCTCCATGGATCCAACTCCAACCCATATCATGTACCCAACTCTGCGTCTCCATGGATCCAACTCCAACCCATATCATGTATCCAACTCTGCGTCTCCATGGATCCAACTCCAACCCATATCATGTATCCAACTCTGGATGGATCAAACCCATATCATATCCGACTATGCGCCTCCGCTATCAGCACCTTCGCTGTCTGATAATCCTACATCTTGAGCCACATCTACTAACATCAACATACAATTCAGCGTTTCAGTCTACTGACAACACCGCCAGGAGCGTTGTCGGTGCTTGTTCTCTTGCGGATGGGTGTTGCGCTGGTGCAGTGCCTCCCTCGCGCCTCATCCTCGTCGTGCCTCAAGTCGGTGCAGTGATCCGCTGAGCCAGTGCTCGAGGTCGGCGAGGAGAAGGTCTTGAGGGGGCTGGTGGCGCGCAGAGCGGCCGCTCCGACAGCGGTGCTGTCCAGTCCAGAGCGGCGGCCACCGGCTGACGTCCGTCCCTCCGCAGGGCGGTGGAGTGCCAGTTCGAGTCGGCGGCCGAGGCGGCGGCGGTGGTGGCGCGCCTGCGACAGACGGAGGTCGCCGACGGCCGGCTCGTCTCGGCGGAGACGCTCCTCGCGCAGCGGCCGGCGGGCGCGCTCGACCGCCGTGCTCTCCTCAAGAACATGACACGGTTTGTCTGTGGACGCCCGCGGCGGCCGCTACCATCCCGACCAGCGACGCGTCAGTGTGAAGCCGCGTGGTGTTGTGACTGACGCACGCGCAAACATGTGACCCCGCCTGAGGACGTCTCCCGTCCTCCACACGCGCTGCGGTGCGCTTCGGCAGGCGTATAGGCCGACCCCTTTGTCAGTAAGCCTCTGGGCGCCCGAGCCTGGACCTGCCATGCGACCAATCCGCCAGCGCCCAACATACACTTCGTGGACTTAAGGGTACCCGCCGTCTTTCGTGGGCAAAACAAGGGGGCCTCATCTGGGAAGCCCCTGTATCTAGGGGCTTCATCTAGAAATGTGATCTGGTAGACGGCTCTGTTTTCATTGTGGTTTCCTTTCGAAAACTCCCGCCGTCCCATGCGGTCATATAAGGTCATCATTCGGGACTGTCACGCTGCCAGATGGCCTTGTTGCTTTGGTTTTTGAAGGCGTTTGCCGCCGCTGATCCGAAAACGGCAACGGAAACGACAACGATTCGGTGCGCGTTTGGACCATCGCGGCGACCTGATCAGCCGATGATGTTTCGTCACACCGACCACTAGCCTGTGCCTGGCCTCAGTTCCCGTTGTTGAAGCCGTGCGGACGCTGCCGCGCCGTGCCCACGGCCCTGGTGATCAGACCCGGCCACGTGACGGTGTTTTCGGCCCGGCCGTTGTTGGCGCTTGCCTGGGTCAGCCAGGCGGAGTGGGCGTCGTTCTTTGCTCGACGTGTTCGTTTTTTTTCATGTCGCGTCCGCCACTGGAGCCATGGATAAAAGAAACGGCAAAGCGAAAAATCTAGTGCTGAAGGCCAAATGTGCCATTACATGATCATACTTGTGTTACACCGTCTCTACATCGTATCCTGGTGCCCTTAGGCTGCACGTGCGTGGCATACAGAGGACGGCCACCGTGCCGGAGCTGCAACAGCTGTTCACTGGCTGCGATGACGTCAGCATTCCGGCCAACAACCAGCGCGGAAACAACGGGTAGGCAGTGGCACCGCCATCTTGGTTTTGGGTTGGGCGAGCACGACCTGCCAACGCGTTGTAATAAGGGCACCGTAGAAAAACAATATGACCATGCGTGGTTTCATGCTATTTGACAATATCTTTATGCGTAGCCTTTACCTATTAAGCTTGTCTATGATGCACTAGCCGACTTTTATGGGTAGTGAAGAACTTTAAACGTGGTGCATGTGTTTCTAGCCAACGTTTTTCGACAATGTCCAGGATCGGAGCACGCGCGTGCTAATTATCAAAGGTAAAGTTGAACGCGCGAGATTTGGGAGAATACCTCTGATGTCTTGTGCGCAACCGCATTGGAGAGTGAAGATGCCATCACAGTACCATATGAAGGTTCGATGTATATTTCGCCCGGTGCACCGCAACTCAGACTGCATTGCGTACGAATTCTGAAACCATAATTACTGCGGATAAACTGCGTAGCGATGGGAAGCGAACGCAAGGCGCCCAGACTACCGCTAGTTCCCTCCTTTCGCCAGTTACGCGTTCGTGCAGTTCCCCGACCGGCAGTCAGCTGCTGCAATGGCGTCCCAGCAGCTGACGCTGCACGACAAACAGCTGACTGTCTCTTATGCCGTCGAGAGAAACCTGGCGCTGGCCTCAGACCCCAGGTAAGATGGCCGACTGCATACGTCTATATCCGCCGCCATGTTGCAGGGGCACGGCCAGGTTTCCTCGTCTGCTGTCGCGGCTATTGTCCTTGCTGTCCTTGTGACTTGGCGGCAGTAAGCTTCATGTTTAAGCTTCTTTAAATAGACTATTCCAAATTGGAAGATATCGGGCAGGCAGCACATATGATGTAAGAAGCTCAGTTACAGCTATTGGTGTATTTTCTCAGGCTTCTTCATGTCGACACGCGTCCACGAATGGCACGCAGCAGACATGCTTCGGTGTATTATAAAGGTTTGTGCATACAGGAGCAATCGATTGAGCATAACAACTTCGGAAGAAACACAACTTGAGTAGAGAAACCGTCCGGGAGGACACATCCCCACGCGTACAGAACGGGGCACCATGACACTACAATGGTATACCTATAACCAGAAAATGCATAAGAAACAAGAACGCGACGCAAATGCGAAACCTAGTGTAGCGCAGACAAGATCGCCACCACACGGCTGCTGATCAATAGGTATGAATGCATGCAACCGGCAACACAGGTACGCCAAATAAAATGCCAATGGAAAATAAACTTAAAACCACCAGCAAAAGGGCGGCGGAACTAAACATCAAGATAATTCATGTCACTGCTAGCGTGTGAGGAAGGTCTATATGCACACAGTGAAGCAGAAATAGGAGTGGAAATGGCTGCAGACGAAGCACGGAAAGTAAGCTAACGTGTGCTTCTCGCTCTGTCGGACAAGTGGTCAGCCGGCCCGCGGTGCTGGCTCGGGGGCTTGGTAGCGTGACCTTGACCTCCAGTCTCGCGGGGCGCTGCCGAATCCCTCAAAACCGGACGGCCGGAAGGGCATGACAGGGACGCCACAGGCGCCCAGACAACCGGATGACTAGCCGGAGTAACATTTGGTATGCTCTTAAGTGCGAAGGCTGCGTTAAATAATGAAGCTTCACGAATCATTGAATGTGGTCCCCATTACGTAATCGTTTGGGGACGTCATGGCACGTTTTTGTGACATCTGAACTGCTGCTAGAGTTGCAGCATTGAGTTGCCGCCATAGCGGGCAGCATAACTCAACTGATTTGCAGTATTCCTAGGTGCTGCAATGTTACAGTGTTGATTTATTTGGTGACTCAACGCATGAGCTTATGTGCGTGGTGTTTGGCCCTTCCATACGGTTTTCTTATATATTTTTCCGTGACGGCACCTTCCTTGCTTGCGTTTACACTTTCGGTTGCGGTGCTATTCTTAAAGGGGTTTAATTATTAGCTCCATGTCCGTCATATCTAGTAGTTGCCCAAATGTCGGTGTCATTGCTGGCGAAACGCGAAACGTGATCGAAACGTGCGATCGATAGCGAAATCCGATTATAGGCCAATGAATTGCCTTCTATCGATGGGGCACTTCGTGCCGCATAACTTCAAATACGAATGCATGTGGCCACATTTTAAATACCCATGAGCACAGCACGGCCAATTGGGCATGGTGCTCGCGTGATGTTTTTGGGACGTCGTATATGTATGGGTGGTTATCCCATAGGCGGCGTGTCACAAGCTGCTCAAACTCGCGTGTATCAAGTTCTAAGAAACGGGATAATTTCAAGTCTTAAAACGTGCGCGGGTGTGACACGCAGGGAATGGCCATGAACATTGCTATTGCAGTTCAAAACCCCGTACGAATGTGAAATAGTCATTTGATCGTCGTGGGTCAACGTCGGGGGTCGTTGTAGTTTAATGACACCATTTTTGATAGTTGTTGAATCCATTATTCTTTGCGTGCTGTACATGTGTACTTGACATAACAGTGGACGTTATGAGTGCCGTCTCGAAACGACACGATCCACCAGCAAGTTTTGATGGCGTCCCGTTTCTACATCGCGTGATGAATTTACTATTCGGCAGGTATGAAATGGTTGAAGTCGAAGATGACTCTGGCGGTCATCGTGCGAAGCAGAGCCTGGCCTCTCCACCGACAGGTGGCAACAGTAAGAAAACGAAGCACAAAAACAAGTGTGTTGGTTTAGTTTAGTCTTAAAGACCTCCATTGATCCACATGGAACTCGCACCATTCTGCTTCTTGGACTAAGATGCAACATTGAAACAATACATTTGCGAAATGTGATCGTGTTTGCAAAAGTTTAGTGACGCTCCCCGGTTTGTCTTATTCCCTGCCTTTTCTCATTCCTCGCCTGTCCTCAATCCTCGCAATGTCCGTTGGCAATCGGGCTATTGTATGCAATGTCCGGCGTAACGGAGGACGCCGCGGTCACCAGCTATGTGCCGTTATTGCCGCCAACATTTGTGTGGTTTATGCGACTGGACATTTGCTGCGTAAGGCTTGTTGACGGGCCTTCCACGGTGACCGTAGTCTTGCCCCTTTACTCATCTCTCTCCGAATTCCCAAAGCCCTGAAGCGGTTATTGCTGACCGAAGAGTCCAATCAAATCCGAACCAACCCAGACCAAGCCAAAAGCGTGATGTTAGGATCAGCAGAGCTCCAGTCCGCAAATCATTCTGCCAGACGCGTGACATCCACAGGCAGTGGCTGCTTGCCAACGTTTGTCTGTTGCTGGAAACCGTACTAACAAACAGCCAGCAGTTTGAAGTTTCTCCTTCCTCGTCGTCTCTCCAGCACGCGACATTCCAAACCATGCATAAGCTTGTCATGAACGCCATCTTGGCCAAGACGGGTACGTTTTGTGTGCCTGGTGGCAGAACGACTGGGCCGCCTCGTGCTGGCCTGTGCTGTGTGCTAGACTCTGCCTCGACGCGGTCGTTCCTCCGATCAGCGGCGGGCAGCTTGGAGTCGAGTCTGACTGACTCCGAGCAAGATGTTACCCGATCCTGGGCGTGGAGTCCAGTACAACCTAATCCTGTAGCGACGGCTTTAATCACAACTCAACTGCGCCATATGACTGCGGGACGTGTCCTCCCTTTCTATCGCGTGCACGTTTTGTCACCAGACATGTGCCTGGTTCCTAATATTGGTTCCTGGTTCCCACTGGCTCTTTCGACAATACAAGGTGCTGGATCCTGGTTCTCACTGATTTTTTCACATTTTTATCATCAGAAGCTGCATTTCAACACATACACACCCTGCTTGTGTCTGACATTGTTGTGGATGATTTAAATTGATTATGACACGTTAGATGGTGTGTTTTTTGGTGTGAGTAATAAGGAGTCAGTAAGGTAGCACCGTTGTTCCGCATTCCCACACGGAGTAACCTTACCACCAGCAGCCTTAGTTCCTTGACGTCATATTCCCTTTGGGTTTTAGATTAACTAAACATACCAACTAGCTTCCCTATCTGCGGCCTTGATGAGCGACGCGCGGGGACGCCACATTAGTGTGCGAGATGCAGTAAGAGGTGTTATTTATGGTTGCTGCGTGATTTCATTGGAAATCATTTCGTGCTATTCTGATGTAAACTTATACTATGTATATATATATATATATATATATATATATATAAAATTCATTATTTCCGAGAGATCCGCACGGAATAGCGGACCTTTCCTTTCGGGATAACATTAGGCAGCTAACAGTCCAGTTGCAGACTTAGCAGGTCTGCATCATCCCTGTGTCTTGACAAGTTATTGATGTTGTTCTTCTGAATTTGTAGTGTTATTAACATTGAAGAACAGCAAATTTCTTTTATGGGTATGAGGAACAGCCTGAGCAGATAACCAGCTATGTTCCTAGACCCAATTTTATTAATTTACATTAAGAACAGTATTAATTGCTGGACCTGAAAAGTGGGGAGTGTTAGCAGCAACTGCTCTGAAGAAATCCTGGTAAGATTTTGTTTCTTGCTGGCTCCTGAGCATAATTTTAGAATGGATCTTGGTTCTTGCTGAAATTGAATCTCCATCTTAAGCCTGAGCTGGATCTTGGTTCTTGCTGGATCACTTCGCATGTTCCAGGCTGGGTCTTGGTTCTTGCTGGATCCATCAACATAATTCCAGGCTGGACCTTGGTTCTCGTTGGGTCCCTATGTCCAATCCAAGCTGGATCTTGGTTCTTGCTGGATCTTTCGTCTTCACGTCAAGCCGGATCTTGGTTCTTGTTGGATTTTTTTGGCTTATCGTCAAGCTGGATCTTTCGACATATTGTCAAGCTGGATCCTGGTTCTTGCTGGATCTTTCGACTTATTGCCAGACTGGTTCTTGTCTTCTTCCTGGTTCCGGAACCAGGAACCAGGAACCGGTTCCCGGGAAGAAATCTTGGCAACCAGGCACAAGTCTGGTTGTCACGTTTCGCCAAACATTTGCAAGCTGTTGAACAGACAGCTTTGCTACGTAAGTCCTAATACCGAAGTCTCATGACATCTCAGAATCCACTCCTTTACGTCCAAAGTACTTGCGTTGATTCTGTCTCAGGATTTAGTACTGTTAAGTCGTTTACCTACTTCGCCTTCATTCACGGCTTATCTTTCGGTTGGACTCTCGATGGATGACGGTTCCGCCAAGCGTGAAGCACCGGTCTGGCATGAATAACGCACATGTAAAAAACCCGGTGGTAGAGTGCAGACTGTATTGCAACATGATGGGCAAGGAGCCTGGGGATTGCAACTACGTCCACGGCACCGGGTTACCATTTTCGACACACACCGTAGACATAATTGAGCCCCCAAGACAACAGAAGAGCGGGAACACAAAGCGTTCGGGCGGTACGCCAGAAGTATGCCAAAGGTCAGGCGGGGTCGGCAAAGGCCGGGACGCCGCCAGCCGAAACCGACCACCGGCGGCGAGACCGAAATGAACTTAGGTCAACCGTACACATATCGTACCAAACACGACAATGTGGCCGACGCCTGCGTTGGCCTCAACAGACAGTGCGCAGAACAAAACCACAAAGGTCCGGCGCGTGCCACTCTTCTGGTAGCACCTCTCCCTTAGATGCGCCGGTGAGCAAATCTGGCGCGTCCGCCGCCTCAGGCACTGTCCCGCGCGGCGAGGTCACAACGCCTGCCCCGAGGGCGCGGCTGGCGCAGCGCCAGGTCGCCGCGGCCGCCGCGGGGTTGCCGCGGGTCACGCGCGGGTCGTCATATCTTGCCGGGAGGCGGCGCGCATGCGCGTGGCCGCCGCCGCCGCGGTGCGGCCGGCTCGGCGGCGAGCAACAGCCATCTGCTGATCTCTGAGCCGCCGAGGCGGACGGCGCCGGCCCGACAGACACGCTGCACTTGACTGGGTTGCTGTGGAGGGCGTGGGTCGCGTCTGTCGGGGCCGGTCGGACCAGCGGCGGGGTCGGGCGATGCTGGCGCCGCCTCGCGGCGGGACGCTGCGCCGGTCGGCGCCCGCGGGGACGTCCTCTCTCCCTCTAGCGCGACCCGGCGAGCGAGCTCACCACCCGGCCTCTCTACTTACTGCCCTGTGGAGAAATCGGCACGTGTCGGGGTGTCACAGGAACCAAGTGGTCGGTGGCGTGAGGCTTGAGACGGAAAACGACGCTCGATTTCCTAGCTGGTGGCGTCAAGTTCAGTTGGGTGGATCTGAGTACACAGCACCACCACCCCTGTCTCAAGTGACACGGTCAACTGACAGACGGAATGACGTCACTGACGCGGCGCAATCGTAAGTGGCGCGGCAACGGGCATCAGCGCGCGACATGAGACGAATCAAGTAGGTTTTGACAACAGCGAGGCTAGATGTTCACGGGTCCTTCGAGCGATGTGATGATATATGCCGTTAGATACAGCTAGGCGCAGGATCATACTACTTTCGTGCAGCAGTTTTATTCTCCGCAAAACGGACAGTTGCCTGAGGGAGGCGCGTGTTAAGTCTGGCCGGAATGAGAAAAAGTGTTGGAAGAGCCAGTGCTGGACAGTCAGCGTCAATTTCAGGACAAGTCAGGGGATAGTCCTGGGGGGGGGGGCTACGTCTAAATTAGGACGCGCACCAGGGGCAGCACCAGGATGCACACCAGGAACAGATTTAGTGTCGGGTTACACTTGCCCGGACCCCAAAGCTTGGGTGCAGGAGCCCTGTGCCGAGAGTGCCACCAGATGACCTATCACCGCCAAACCTATTGGTCTTGGCGTCCACAAAGCAGGTGACCCTGGAGGACTGTGGACCCGACGGACCGATCAGCCGTGCGATCCGGCCAGATCGACGATCTGGTTTACCCAGAAATTGCATTGGTATATTGGCGCCAGTTGACCTAGCGGTACTGACTGGCAGCAGACGCACTTGAAACAGCACAGATAGCTGATCTATTCGACCTAAGTGAAAAAGTTCATCTGGTCGACGCAGCTGACCCAAAAATCTGAACAATCTGCTGACCCAGTCGAAAAACTTTATATAGCGAGTGTATGACCCGGCACGACCTCAGCAGGTGCGCGCTGCCCTGCTGAAGCCACCCTGACCACCCGCTGCCGATCAGCTGACCTTCATGTTGGGATCAGAGTCCCAGCGATCCAGTTCCTCCCGCACCAGCTTTTCCATCTGGTGCCGCTTGGACTTGTCGTCCGCTGCGGGGAGAAGCGGCGGTGAGGCGGCCGCCGGGGGTGCACGAGCGACGGCAGGACGCCGAACAAGCCCGTAGCCGTGCGGAAGATGCTAGTGGCCATGCTGAAGCAGTCGGTGGACATGCTGTGGGTGGGTTTTCATGCTGAAGATGTGAGTGGCCGCGCTGAGGTGACTGACGAATGTGCTGAAGTGCCTGGTGGACGTTCAGAAGTGGTGGTTGGTGATGCTTCTGCACATGCTGGCAGTGGTGCGGCGGGCGGTCGGATGGGCGGTGCGGCCGCGTGACAGCGGGTGAAGCCGTGCTATTGTCATGAGATTGGGAAGGCCCGGTCAGCAGTCACAAATTAAATGATGAAGACTTGAACTATCTAAGCGCCTCCGTAGTGTTGTTTGCCGCCTCAGCAATATCCAAAGCGATGGCAACGGACATGACCTCAGCAACGCCATTCATCTTGGTATGCAGCAGGCTGGCAAGCTGTCGGGGTAGATCGAGCGAGGTATCTCTAAGCGTAAACTATTACTCTAGCCTTCTGATGAACCAAGGGCGAGGATGGCTTGTGAATCATGTTAAACATGCGGCCCCGAAGTCAAGGCGCGTGCTGGCGACTCGGTTCCTGCAGTAGTCGCTGGTGGCAATGCGTGAAGCCATCGACT